TACATATGAATAATTAAATAAATATCTAGAACAATAATTAAATTTTAATTATCAAATATAAAATTGATAATTGATAATTTTATTATTTCTGTATGAATCCTTACATAGACTAGTCAACTTTATTTAATTGGGCAAGCTTAAGGTTAGGTTAAACATTAGCTCTATTAGATCAATCAAAATTAAAGTTGATTAAAATTTAACTCTTTTCGAATTTGAATTAAACTTGATCGATTGAATCTAAATCAAGTCAAGCAGTCAAAATATAATAATGATTAAGTTTAATTAAAATATTTAATTAAAATATATCAAATTATTTAATTTTATAATTAAGAATATAAGTCAAATTTATTTAATTTTTGAAGGGTAAAATTATATTTTTTTCTTAGGATATATAATGAAAATATATAGTTTCTATAGGGCAAAATTATCAAAAGGATATAGATTGGAATTAAAGGCTATGTAAGGGAAAAACTATAATTTCAATAGTGAAACCTTAAGATTCTCTCTTAGCCACCACGTTCCATCATGCCCACGCCCGTGGGTCCTTATGGTGGTGCACTAACCATTAGTCGCTTATGTTTCACTCGCAATGGGATGATATTCTCGTGTGGTTGATCGATAATCTCACTATTGTAGTGTCTTACTATTGTGCCCATGTGCAAATTGTTAGTCATAGATGTCCTATAAGCCAATCACGTGAGTGATGACATATAAAACATGACACGTAGTCTTTTTGCATATTATTATTATGATATTTTCTCACTTTGTATTACTTACTGCACAAATATATGATGATATCCATGGATCTGTGAATGAGATTTGGATCGTGATGAGATCACGATAATGAGATCGATTCACTTTTAAACATAGACCATAAATAATCTCGGTCATTGGTTACTCGAGAAGGACATCGAGATAACCGGATAGACTAGTGTGCTGTATACCCATCCATATAATGGAGGTAGCTAGTCTCATAGCTACTTGTGTGGAGACATTAGGGCTATAGTGCAGGTGCTCATTGGAGAATGAGTTTACTGATTGATCCTCTCACGGAATACTAAATGTTTGATGATACCTCATTATCATACACTAATTTCATCGTTCTAGTGGTATACCTGGTTCTTAGATTTAAGATACCAAGGATATCCTATATGAGTACCTCAATCTTTGATACTGGACTTATAGGTTTGAAAGTTTCAAATCTACCATAATCGATCATCATGAGTGATAGCCAATCTTATGAGGGCTATTAAGTGTCGATAGAGAATTATCCACTCTCGGTATCATAGAAGGAATATCTTGTGTGTCTTTTCTCAAATAAATTCTTGGCCAAGGTCGTTCAGATTGAGAGACAAAGAGTTCTCCGAGAGAATCCGATTATAGCAAAACTCGAGAAGAAGTCATATGAGCCTAATAGCACCATGCCCGATATACGATCTCTTAGATATTAGATGGATGAGGAGTATAGGTACATGATAACTAAAGATAGATAGGTCCAAAGGATTGGATTCTCCTGTATCGTCTAAGGACTACGGTGTAGTAGCTTAATATGTCCGTAGTTGGAGTCGAGTATATTATTATGGAGATAATAATTTACTGAGCCAAAAGGAGTTCCGATAGAAATGACTCATGACTAGCTCAATATTTGGGCTAAAGGATCACACACATATGGTAGGTGTTGCAACGAATAGAAGTTCAGATATGAGATATCCGTTGGAGCCCCTATCTTAATGGATATTCATTAAATCCTTGAATTATTGGATCATATATAAGATCCAATAAGAGCTAATATGAAATTATTGGGTAAAGACCCACTAATCTAAGAGGCTTGAGTAATTAGTTGGAGATCTAATACCCAATAGGATATGATCCATCAAGGTTAAGTTGATATGAGACCTCTATAAATATGGGGGGAACCAAAAGCTCATAGGCTAAGACTTTTTGGTTGCCACCTCCTATTCTCCTCTCCCCTCTCCTCCTTAGCCTACAACCCCAGTTTGGGGCATGTGGATAGCAAGAAGGGTCGACCCCTTCTTGAGTGCATGGTACATGCAATGAGAATATTTGAACAATAATTTGAGCATTGCCACAACCGTTGTCGCATGGATCACAACTAGAGAGGAGAGCATTTGAACTCATTCATCCAATTTTATAGATCTATAGAAATTCAGGGATATATGATCTCCCTAGGTAATTCTCTTATGCATAGTTTTTCAATTTCGCGGATTTTTACGCACCAACTTTTGCACGATAATAAGAAACCTTTTTGCCATGGGAAATCAATATTTTTGTTTTTGTTCTTCCGTTATGCATATAATGTTGCCCTAGATTTCTCGACATGGATGTACATCGATTGATGACCACCATGATCATCGTGGCACGTGATTGTACTCACAAGTCTACCATGTTGTCACCAGGAACCGTGGCTTTTAGTGTCTAGTTAACATTAGTCTCGACTAGCAAATGTTGCACTAACGTTGCTGTAACCGTTGGTTAAAAGCAGCATTGTAGCCAACATAGGTAGCGACATTACTATAGTCGCCACAAATCACACATGTGATCGTTGTTAGTTGTTGTACCTCACCATGTTTCTGTTGCTTTCAACAGCACCTACATATAGCTACTACCTGTGACTAGGTTGACAACCACTAGAGGCCACTATTCTTAACAATGTTGTCACTGATGGCAAGCTATCGATGGTAATCTATTGATCAAACATGATGAACCTCACAATGCTCACAAATAGATGATAGGACGGACGAGATAGAAAAATAGATCGATAATACAAATAGATCATTTAAGCATTGTACAATCAAAATCAAATAACGCCTCTTTACAAGTGAAAGGTGCTAACAAATATATATAAATATAAAATAGATCTGAAATACTTTCTATTTGATTTTAAACATAGCTCTTATATCAATTGGAAGCATAAAAATCATAATTGTACTACTATTATATAAAATAAATTTAATATTAGAAACTAAAATCAAATAATGATAGATTGAAGATTATGATTGTGTATTTGCTAATGCTATTTAGAAAATATTTATCTGATATGTAAGTGCATTATCGTCCAAAAGAAGTGACGACGTCGATCTATGATGAGAACTAGACTCACTTTCTCCTCTCTTTATATCCTACCACTATAAGCGATAGATTAGGGTCAAAAGGGAGATAAGAGAAGATTTGTTATCTCTCAATAATGTTAAATCGTGTATCATATCATGACTTTCCAAAAGGTCTTGTCTATTTATAGGCAATAATAGAGGGTATATGATAAGTAATTAGAAGAGTCTTTTGATAGGATAAAAAGAGGACTTTTTATACGAACAAATACAAGCAGATGGTAACATATAGCAGGATTAAATAGAAATCACAATCAAATAGGACACCAGATTTACGTGGAAAACCTCTCCAACATGAAGGATAAAAATCATAGGGCAAACTAGAGAAAATTTACTATAAGAATAATGAATATACAAATCTCGGAGTCTCTTACCCAAAACTTAAGTAACAATCACAAGAGAATAACTATGATGCATGGATTATGTCATCCAAAATCTCCCCAAGTAATCATAATAAGAATTCACTATAAATCTGATCTAACTGAGGTGAAAACATTGCTTGCTTGGATGATTGAAAACAGTTTTTGCGTTGTCCTTATCTTTTTTCTTTTTCTCTTATTTTTCTGTCTTTTCCTTCTTTTTTGAACCACGTTGTTGTAATTTTTTAGCCTTATTCATAGCCACCATTTGCCCCCTTTTTATTCCTTAGCCACCACATATTAGGGTTTAGGTTAAAAAGAGAGGAGAGTTAAGACTAAAGTGGGCTAGAATTATTCAAACGGGCTGAACTAATGGGCCATCTACCTAACATCTTCCTCATCAAGATCATCTCGAAATCCTATCATATTGTTTAATATAGATAGGATATTATTTGAAATTTCATATTAGGTTGGGTTTTACATAGCTTACATATTGTGTTCTGATTATCTCAATTTAACTTAACTATCAAAGTTTAAATAAGATTAGAATATATATATATATTTATCAATCTGAAGGTATCTTAGTCGGTAAAAACTTTATTATAATATCATAGGACTAGGTCATGTCTTTTATTATATTCATAAAAAAATCACATGATTATTTTTTAATAAAAAAATATATTTAGAAGAGTATTAGGATATTTTTTATTTTTAAGGAGTATAAATTTATGAGTAATTAAAAAGGCATGTGTATAATTTTTCTATTGTTTTGACAGGAATAAGTACATTAAACGAAAACATAAGTGATAAGCCGAATGTTCGAACATTTGGTAGATGTCATTTACTGATGACAAGATATCTTTTTATAAAGAATAAGGAAATCTCCTTTTCATAAGTGATCCTACGATCATTTATCTTTTATGAAGAATTAAGTAAATAAATGCTACAGCCAACGTATTGCACAAAATATAGGCAGAATGAAAAGTCAGTCATCATGATGCATCTGACACACCAATAATATAGTGCACCAAATAAATACATCTTCCACTCTCTCTACTTGTATTAACCATCCAATTTTCACATGCATTTTAACATTAAAAAATACAAGTGTAGAGTGAAGTTATGAAGGAGTTCTCTATTTTACGTTTTTCTTGAAAATATGTAAATCTCAGACGACTGTAAATAATATTAAGAAATATTTAATATAATTATATATATATATATATATATTCAAAAAAATAAAATTAGTCATTATTTAATAGGGGTTTTTTTGAGATGATATATTAAAATTTATAGCGAACACCGGCTTGCACAATTTACGTAAAAGTCGGTCGCTTGCACAGATTTCAACTTTGCTCCCTTCTTTACTTTATTTCTTTGATTTGTATTTTTAAAAGGTCCTAATTATAAAAGGAAATGGTACTACGAAACTAAATACAATAACTAACAGGGATGTCGTTGAAACGTTGCCTTCACGGGAGTCTCCCACGTAATTTCCCTATTAACGACGATTCCTAGTGAGAAGAAAAGGCAAGAAGAAGTGTAGCGACGGAGAAAGAGAAATCTTTAGGGTTAGCTTGTATACGCGCCCGCATCCGCGTCTGCCTCCTCTCTTCTGCCAAGATCTGATTCGGGGGTCTGGGTGTTGTGTGGCGATCGAATAGGGAGGAACGATGAGGGGATCGCTCGGGAAGCTCGTCGCTGGGTCTCTCTCCCTCGCCGGGAGGTGGCAGAAGCAGCAGCTGCGGCGCCTCAACGTCCATGAGTACCAGGTATTTATCCGATCTGTTTGTGACCATTGGTTTTAATCTTTATTTATTTTTCGTCGATTCAAGTAAAATGGCGATGAAAGGCCTCATCGTTCTGTGTGATGCGTGTGATATTCGAAGGACGAATATTTTTTTTGTTAATCCTTTGCGAGTTCTGATTGTTATTAGATGCTCAAGATTTGCCTACACGGATCGGTCGTTTCATCTCCCGTTGTCATTTAGCACTCCGATCTTTCTTTATTCCATAAATATTTATTATTTGACTTCGAGGATGTCCGTTTGCATAAGATATAATCGCAAAGGTTATTTCTTCTGGAGCAGGGTGCTGAATTGATGAGCAAGTATGGCATAAACGTGCCAAAGGGAGTCGCTGTTTCATCTGTTGAAGAAGTAAAGGAGACTGTTAGATCTGTATTTCCTAATGAGAAGGAGGTGAGCTTCTTGTCCCGGACAATAGATAAAAGAAAAAAAGATTGCTAGGCATTTTCTGAAGATCCCGTTTTCTTGGGGATTTGTTCTGTCTCATGATATTGCTATTCATTTTGTTTCCATAAAGTTCTACTAAAAATCTAAGATCCAAATTATATAATCTGTTGTTGTGATCATTTTCATGCTTCTTGCATGATAATTTATTGAGTGTACACGAACGAGTGGCATGGGCCTTTAAGAGATAAACATCAACGGCACGGTTTTACAATCTAGAATTGCTATATGCTTCTCTTGGAGAACTTCCCTTTTTTTCTCTTGCCTTGAGTCTGATGCCAAGGCTTGGAAGCTAATAAGTGCTGATATACATATGTGGAAGTTGCAATTGATAGAAGTTGGTGCGACCATCATATATCATCTTATGTTATCATTGTAATGCCAAATTCATTAAATCGTGAAAACATCTTAGAAACCAAATCATAAAGGAAAGAAAATCTTGAGAAACTGAAAGTTTGTCTATATGCATGTAATATCATTATATATGATGCAAAATGTCTTGTTTCACATGAGATTCTTGTTTCTGTATATATATAAAGTCGTTTTACTCATACATCAGTTTCATATCTTAAAATGATTTTATATTTTTTCATTCTATTTTCACATATAGATTAACCCAAACAAAGTAACTAAGAAACTTAAGCCTTTATGGCGTTGCCACAGATTGTAGTCAAAAGCCAAATTCTTGCTGGTGGGAGAGGCTTGGGGACCTTCAAAAGTGGGCTTCAGGGTGGAGTGCATATTGTGAAAACTGAGGAGGTTGCAGATATAGCTGGTAAGGGATGTACTTTTGTGCTCTTTTTTTTTTTCTTCCAACATGCTTTATTCATCTATTCACAATCAATTGGCTCTTTTAAGGATGGAACCACATGTTAAAGAATTTGAAGCCTTGAAAATACATTAGAATGTGACTAACGTCATTTTTGGTGGATGCATTAAGTCACTACTTTATTGAAATGGTTTGCTGATTGCTTAGTCGTGGTAGAGGTATGGAGAGTGTTCATCATATTGGCAAAGCCGGAACACTATCCATTATAACTTATGCTCAGTAATATGTTATCTTGTTTTATTTTGGTAGGATGTCCAGATTATTGGCATTAATGCTTCGAGCATGATCCTGAGGATCAGGTAATTAGGAAACTGAAAAATAATGAATTCTATTTTATGTACATGAGGTAAGATATATATATGTAATCCTTTCTAAAATCTAAGATCACATCATTCATGATTCTAGGATTATTTAACTTCCTGTTGTGGACTCAAATGCGTATTTAGCACTCCATACTTGCTAATCTGGTTGTCTTTGACTTACAAGACATCAATTCTTCTTTCGCTTCTCCTTTATGTGTTTGGATTATAGAATATAATCTTCAAAATATTAGATGCTGTGTATTTGTCTTCATATTTGCTTTACTAAAGCATGTACAAAATTTTGGGATTGTCTTTTTATCCACCTATGTTTATCACAGAAATCAAATATGATATTGTAGGGGCTGTAAGCCCCCATTGTTCATTCTTGTAAATTGATAATATGCAACTTTATTCTTTGCTGTATCTATTAAATGATCTGTATTACCTTGTGATACAAGGTATGTTTTCCTTTTTGTTGTTTATTTGACTCACTTTTAACTCTTAGAGTTGAATTCTGGGTAATGTTTGAGTCATACAAAGAAGGAAGCTTGCCATGAAAATCTGGGTAGATCACTAGGTACAAAATTACCTTTTGGTGGTCATCAAAAACTAGGTGATGCTTAATTTTTCTATTATGTATCAAATACATATCTGACATGGATATCATTTCAGACATCTCTTTGTTTATGAGTTCCATAAATAGTTACTTCTTACTTGTTTGAGTCTTTAGTTGGATCCTTTTCGGCATGAATTTGAGTTTCTTCTCTTGGTGCTGCTTTTTCAAAAATTCAGAAATTTGTGCAGTTGGTTATCATCGTTTATATTAATCCATTGTATCTGGTTTTGTTGGGTTTACTTGGATTCCTCATGCATCAAGCGTATTAGTCAAGTTCATGTGCGAAGCACCTTATCTTGTACAAAGTTGAATTCTGAATGTTGCCTCTTTGATGTTGGTGAATGGTGATTAAATGATTCTTTACAAGCTTCCTCAATTTTGAACTTCCATTTCATGAATATTATGTTGTCTAGATGAATTAGTTGTGTTTTTGTGCTTTGTTTATTGTAACACTGAAGGCTGAAAGTCTTGATATGTCAACTGCAACCAAATATTATCTGCAGGGAAAATGCTTGGCCAGATTCTTGTTACCAAACAAACTGGTCCACAAGGAAAGATTGTGAGCAAGGTTGGATTTTGTTCATCCCTTTATTCTTTTAAAACTTAGCAAAAAACATTGATTCAAATTCATCTTAAATGATCATGGTATAATTTTTTAACTGATTTTTTAATAGATTTTGCTCATTAATCTTTGCTGCAGTTGTCAAGTAGATTCAGGTTTCTAACAATTGTAACTTATTAAGGGTCAGGCCTAGTCCATTTTCTATTATGTTCATGAGCAATATGTCCTAATTTGTAGTATGGCCCTCTAATCATGAAAGCATTTGTCAGAAAATTGTTGATGATGCATTTAACTACTATGTCTTGGTTTTAAACTGAAAATTGCCATAATTCCTATTTTAAGTTTTCTTTTCCAATTTTGTGCTCCTTTTGATAGATTTCATCCATAACTACTCTTTAACCCTTTGATCGTATACTTCTTTGCTGTACGAATGGAGAGCTTGTGAGCAGGTTAATATTTTTTGCAAGTAATCAAACACTTTGTTCTGCTACAGTGTTGTCATAAAAGCTTTTGCAGTGAAATTTATTTCTTTGCTTCCTTTTGCAGGTTTACCTGTGTCAAAAGTTATCCCTTGTTAATGAGATGTACTTCGCCATCACCCTTGACCGCAAGACTGCTGGACCAGTATGTTTTAGAACAAAATTAGGTTAATTTGCCATTTTGCCTGGTGGTATATCATCTGCTAAGCATAGGCTCCAACTTCAAAGTTTCTAGAAAGATTCTATACTGTTTTTTTTTTTCCTTCAATTTTTTGGTTTAGATTGCTGCTTTACTCCTCTTTGCTACTTTGCTATACATGTGATTACTATTTTGCTTGTCATGTGCATGTGTCGTGTTTTTGTTCCTCTTGGAATGGGGATATAAACTTGCTTTAAATACAAGCCATCATTGATCAAAATTTTCTGTTTTCCTTTTTCTGGTTTTTGGTTTAGATAGTATTCTAGTCATTAAAAGATAACTGATTCTCCTGTCCAAATTCCTAGATAAAGAAATCAATGACAATCATTTAGTTTCTCAATCACCATTATTCTCCTTCCTCCTCTTTGTGTTTTTTTTTCTTTATCCTAAATGTGTGGATTCTATGTGGGATACTGTATACCTCGTATCTTGTGGTCTACTGATTGAACATAGATATAAAATCAACTGTTACATATAACATCTCTGGACAATTTTGTCATGTTCATTTGATCATGTGTTCACTATCCTGACTTTGCTTTACAACAAAGAAACAAACCTTTAGTTCAAGATTTCTTTACATGAGTTGTTATTATGCTTTTCAGCTAATCATAGCTTGCAGAAAGGGAGGAACTAGCATTGAAGATCTTGCGGAAAAGTTCCCTGACATGATTATTAAGGTCGGTCATCTTCGTTTCTTTTCTTGGTTTACCAGAAAAAGTTTTCTAAAATATTAATAAGGTTTAGTTCAGCAAACAAGGGAGTGTTATTGTTTTCTCAAATGGTTAGGTAACAGTATTTTAGAATTAACTTTATGCTTTCGATGGGAAGGTTCCAATTGATGTTTTCAAGGGAATTACTGATGAAGATGCTGCTAAAGTTGTTGACGGTTTAGCACCTAAGGGAGCTGACAGAAGTGCTTCAATAGAACAAGTGAAGAAACTTTACCAACTCTTCTGTGAATCCGATTGTACACTATTAGAGGTTTGGTACATAAAGGATTTCTTTAAGTTAACACATTTTTGTCAGTGCTGTTGATTTTCTTTCTGTTATTGCTCTCTCTGTACTAATAACTTTTAGGGCCTTTGTTGACTAGATAAATCCAATTGCTGAGACGTCTGATAACCAACTAGTGGCTGCTGATGCAAAGTTGAACTTTGATGACAATGCTGCTTTTCGTCAGAAGGAAATATTTGCTCTGCGCGATCCATCACAAGAAGACCCTAGAGAGGTCTAAATTCATTTTCTTGTAACTGTGATTTTATGTGCTTTTGAAATGTTTACTTGTTTTTTAGATATGGACCTTGTTTATGTGAAGTACACTTCTGTATTATGCGTATTTAAATATTGACACTCCCTTAGCTGATCAATCAAAGATAGGCTTGCAATTTCATTTTTTGTATTTGTATGCTTTTTTTTCCTTCTGCAGGTTGATGCTGCCAAAGCAGATCTGAACTATATTGGTCTTGATGGAGAAATTGGATGTATGGTAAATGGTGCAGGACTTGCAATGGCTACGATGGATATAATCAAATTACATGGTGGTACACCTGCAAATTTTCTTGATGTTGGTGGAAATGCATCAGAAAGTCAGGTGCAGATTATATTATATTATGCACTGGTTATACATTTCTGTGTTTGCTTGATTAAATTCAATTCCATATTCTTAATTGAGTGGATAATTACAAAAGGAACTTTTTAGATGTCTTGCAGTTGGTTTGCTAGGAATGTAGAAATCAGGACACTTGTTGTAGGGGCATCTTTTTTGTAGGATATTGGTCTATCCTCTCTTATTCGTTGAAAAGAAGTACTTTATTATTTGTGTTGTCATGAAAATTTGAAATATTGTTGCTCAGGTGGTAGAAGCATTCAAGATATTAACGTCTGATGACAAAGTGAAGGCAATTTTGGTCAACATATTTGGAGGGATTATGAAATGCGACGTGATAGCAAGTGGAATTGTCAATGCAGCCAAACAGGTGCGTTATTCTATTCAGAAATAGCCTGGTTATCATGATTATGAGATGCCCATGAGAATTAATGCAACCTGATGTAGGGTCCTTCAGAATTATGGTCTTAGAGACATGTTTCTCTTAGAATTATGGTCCTTCAGAATTACTTGGTCATGCAACATGGGAACTGTGAAGAATATGTATATATCTGCAAATGTTAATGCAAATGAGTGTGGCTTTCAAAAGTTGGAAATTCATAAGTGGTCGGTCATAGGCTCCTTTTTTTTGTTAGCTACACTTGTTAAAGTATTATATTATACTTTGGAGTTTGGACATCATTCTTTGTCTGAAATTGCATTATTTCTGTGGCATCCTCATACTCCTCTTTGAGCTGCTGACTGATCCCAGAAGAACCTTAGAGGATTATCTTTCTCTATAATGAAGGCGCTTAGGTATGATGACATATGAGAAGTGGCTGATGAAGTGATTCGGCTGTTACAAAAATACATAATTTTGAGTGAGGAGAGGCAGTTGAAACAATATTGAAATTTGAATGATGTAGTAAAAAGAAGCAAAGAACTATTAGTTTAAGGAGGAGAAAAGTGACACGAAACTATTTGGAAAAAGAATTCAATGACAACAGAGGTGATTCTTGATAGGAACCATTCTGGTGAAGATTCTTTAGTGCAAACTGGGAGTTGGGATGACACTCAAGGGTTAGTTATATGTGTTTGGTCTTGCGGACTTGATGATTAAATAGTGCTTCAGTGTTTGTTTCTGAACGTTTCCTGAAATTGTCTATCACTGTTCGTGACCTAGACTTTTGCTAATTGTTACTTCTTTGGTGCTCGATCTACTTTACTACTGTGTTCAGTGTGGAATTTTGTTGTTAGTTGTGACTGTATTATATTTTTCAGTAATGATTGACCTGAAACCTGTACTAATCAGGTTGCACTAAAAGTACCTGTCGTGGTTCGTTTGGAAGGCACCAATGTAGATCAAGGAAAGAGAATTCTCAAGGTATGCACAATATGGAATTTATTATGCTTTTACCTTGTGTTTGTTCATGTCTTTCCTTAGTATCATGTGAAGGAAAGGAAATTATCACCGATCCATAACCTATGCAATAATTTATAGGAGAGTGGAATGACTTTGATCACTGCAGAAGACTTAGATGATGCAGCAGAGAAAGCAGTGAAAGCTGCTGCCCATTAGGTATCCTGTTGTCACACTTGCATAATTTTTGAGAACCAATTTCTGATTCAATCGCACGCTGTCATGTGCTTCATTCAGTTCAGTGGAATTCTGAATCCTCCGAAATAAAGGTAACTTGGCTCGGCCAAGTTGTGAGAAAGTGGCCAACAGTGTAATCCAGTGAGCAACGTCTCCGGTAACTTTTTGTTACTCTGGCCTGCTTCCATCTATTTATCTGTCGGTAATTTTTGACGTTGATGTGGAACGAGTTTATTCTGATTCGGAGATGGTAAAATCTCCATTCCTGGTTTTGTGCGTTTCTTTTGTTCATGTGGAACAAATGCTATTATTTCTGATTCAAGGATGGACAGAACTGCATTGATGCTCCTCTAAATCGATTTGTTCTACGCTTCACATCTTTCTTTCACGATAATTCCGTACTTTATGGCATGCATCTTTTGACTTTGACCAGTGGATTGCTGCTACATGGATACTGCCCATTATTCGAATCTTGTATGGTTTATTTGTGACCGATTGCAGTTTTGTTGAGCTTTCCATTGTCGGGTTCTTCTTCTCTAGCATTTCGCCAGCCCTTACTCCCCACTTGGTTGTGATTACTTCGTTTTCCAAAACAAGCAAAATCGGTTGTTTGACTGATCGTGTAAAAATAATTTCGACTCCTTACCGGCAAATTCACGTGTATTCCTCAAATGAGGCAGACCCGTTCCCTTCCAACGATCACAAAAAGAGACTTTTTATCTTTGCACAAACATATGATGATATATTCTAGTTTATTAAAATGATCCACAAACATAGGATGATATATTCCCTTAAAGCAGCCGCCAAATTTGACTCTCTACCCACTCAAATTTAAGAGCTCGTAGATGATGATACATTCTAGTTTATTGAAATGATCGCTCTGTATCAATTTTTATTATCTCCGGGTTAGATTGTTCGATATTATATATATTATTATAAGTTAATTATATATTATTTTAATTTTTTTAGTTTCTTGATTTTTAGACTTAAAAATATATATTATAATTTTTATAATTATAAAAGTAAAATATTTCGTTTCATTTATCATAAAGTTGTTAGTTTTACATTTAGAAACACGAAAACGATAGACAAGGAGGTAATTTCAATGTTCCAATTATGTTTTCAATGGTGACGAACAATGATGCTACTCTGTATCTGAGTTGGTATTAATACAAATGTTGAGCGATTCTTTCGGTAACAAAATTGTCGAGCGATGTCGTTGTAGATACAAAGTAATGAAACGATAATGGTCTACTATGAGTCGGACACGACCTTCCTTTGTTGGGTCTGCGATGTGTCTGTCCACATCGCTAACTTCCTCGTGGCTCACTACATCCACTCCCTTTGCGTTTCCTGTGATGTCGATCCTACTACCTCCTCTTCAAACTTTGTGCCTCCTTGTCCTCGAGTTTTTGTCGATCCACGATGATGCTTTAAGCAAAAAAGCTCGCAGATCCTCGGCGAACTGTCACGGATAAAATTATAAACAGGGTGTTCGATGTAATGCTTATGTATGTCAATATCTTTCGGTTTTATTTATGCTTTGCACAGCATATAAAGAACTTGCAGTAGGTTTGACAACCCTATTTTATTTGATTTTGGTGGTCGTCCTAGGCTTCTAAACAAAGGTTATGTCATGTGGGCACTTGCAGGGATTTTGGTCTGTAGTGGACTATTTTGGACTCTTTGTTGTGCGATCGTTCAGAGCTTATAAAGTTTGTTTGTAATTTGCATTGACTATTAAGTATTTACTGAAATAATTGCTTGTGGATCTAGAGTGAGATGCTTTCTCTAACCCATTTTCTCTTTTGTAAGTCCTAAGGGACAATAGGAGGTTTCGGGGAGGTTGACCTTTGCAGACACACGCAAGAGTGTAGTATGACTTAGGTAAAACCAGCTAAGTGTGTGACATATGGTACCAGAGTGGGACTAGCACTCATAGAAACACTTGACATGCAAATGTGGGAGACTTAGCGGGGTTGTGTTGAGGGCAGCCAGCACACGTGACCATATGGGGGAAAGCAGGCATGGAGATTGTAGGGAAAAGGAGTCGCTCATAGGAGCAGGCATATGATATTGGCATTCAGAGAAATGGCCAACCCTTCGTACAAGAGGCACCACGAGGACAAATAAGTTGGGAAGAATACATAGTGCACAAAGGTTGGGATGACTGAGTTTGAGCTATGGCTCGACGTTAGCAACCATACTTGATGGTGCTCAAGGTAAGTGAGACGCTTGGTAAAGGATGAGACCATGCAAAGTGGAATGAGTTATTTAGCGACCGAAAGAGTTATGCAAAGCTCATAGAGGTGAGGAGAATTGCTAACTCGAAGAATTCGATACTCATGCAAGGGCTCGTATGCGGACGATGGAATGTTCATGGCCATCCCAAGGCAACCGAAACTTAGCACTATAGAGCATTGAAACTTTCTCTTCAGCGTGAGAAAGATATGTCCGTAGGAGGCTGAAGTGTGTAGCGAGTTCAACATGTTGCTAGGCCTTGAGGGGTGCAGCAGGGGTTGTATTGGTGAGGAGTCTCAATCTAGCAAGTGCATTAGCAGGGCAGAACAATGCATAGTTTGTTGAGCAAGGTGGAGTAGTCCAAGGGGATAGTGGTCTCCGAAACTTCTAGAGGGAAGGATGCAAAGAGAGAAGTTTCTCTAATAGGACAGATACCTTAGAGAGATAAGTATCGATTCTCCAAAGAGAGAATCATGTGCAACATACCGCACATGTTGAGGAGAAGTACCTTAAGACAACAACCCCACAAAGTTCAATGGACCGAGCGAGTGGTGAGGAGTCATCACATGATCTTGCATAAGATAATGCATTAGGAGATGCATTGCGAGATCAAGGGGAGAGCGACCCAAGGCAACACAAATGAAGGCACACTTGGAGCTGAATTGGAGATCAGACTCAACAAAGGACTGACCCGTGAAATGGTGGGCGCAAGGGCTGCCATCAACTCAATGCAAATCGAGGAGCGGAGCAACTTGGGTGGAACTTGGTGAAGGACCCAAGCCGCATGAAGGGAGTTGACATAGAAGATGGAACATGGAGTGGAGACACGAAGCTTTCCTTGGACAGAGGTCTAGGATATGAACTCTTACAGAGGCAAGAGTGGGATCATGTCGTTCCATGGGTCCCTCATTCTGATAGAGTGGACTTACCCTACATGGTGCCAAAGACAAAGGGAGCTTCGAGGCACATGCACCTTATCTCGGAGAAGCATTTGACGGAGGAACTAAGGCGACTCAACTTATGAAGGTGAAGTTGGGTTCAGAAGGCCTTAACACGGGACAAGAGGATGCAGAAGTGGGTACTCTTGAAGAATATACTATAGTTCTTGTCACTCCCCATAAATTTAATTCTCATTCAGGAGGTGTGAACCTAACTCAAAATTGTTAATATTATAATTCAACAAACAATCCAGGATCCAATCACACATTTGAAGCCACTAAGAAAATACTCAAGTTAAAATTTACTTATATAATCCACAATTCATAAAATCTATGTAGTTTATAATCATACTATCGTATCACTTAATGATTCACAAAATCCAAAGCCAACTTAACTAAACCATAACCACATCATAAATCCAAAAGCGTGGCAATCTATACAATCACAGAACTAATATATACCACAAGTTTATATCATGACACAGCCTAAACTTAACATTCCCAAAATCCCGACATGAGAGGTACTTTCCAAATATTTACAAGATACATTGATCTAGATTTGTCATTGATATTTCATTACACACAAAAGGAACATATACAACATCAATCTATCAAGTACGGAATGTTTGCCCCAAAATCTTCTAGCTTTCCACTACCTCAACCAAATTTACACATTTTAGCGAGCGATAAGCTATCTTGAAAATTTTATATAGCAACGAGGTGAGCATATAAAGCTCAGCAAGTGACTAACATATCCATAGCAAAGAGGACAGTTTTCAAACAAATAAGGTATCAAAAATACAAAGTACAGATACAAGATGAAAACAGAGGCATGTTTTGTTTGAATGCAAAATTACAATATCGTTTCGTTCAAAGCATGTTTTGTTCATATAATCGAGGAAAGGTAACTAGAGCATATCATTGGCATAAGGAGCATATCCATAGCATATGGTATATTTCAAGGCATAACAAAGACATGTAAACATTTTGGAAATATATCAAAGAACAAAATATGAATAGAAGCTCAAATGTCACATAACATTGTATTCATTTCATTCTTATCCAAAGCATGCATAGAAACACAACCAAAGCCTTGGATATCATGTCAAACACATAGAAGGTAAAGTGGGATCATAATATAATATGGTTCATCTATTTCTAAATGACCACCAAACGTAAGTCTCCCACGTCTGAATGAAGTCATAAGGGACCGGCAGAGCATCGCGGGCTCTAAGAATAACTCCCTTTATCATTTCTAGGAAAGGTTCACATTTATCCCACAAACACCAGAGTATAAAAGGATAGTGAACAATAAACTTGGGACGTATCAGAAACACATGCGGAAACAACGGAATGCATGTGCCGATACAAAACATTGCGATACAAACTTGAACTTTACATAATAAATGCAGGTATACAACTAATTGAAGGACTAAAGTATACGGGAATTCAAGGCAATAATGTAAAACTCAACTTAAGTAAGGGTTTTTGCTGAAATCGATTTCCAAAAAGAAGAAACAAGAGGAGGCAAAATCGACTAAAGCTCGATTCTAGCATAATTTAAGAGGCAGATTGTATAATTATTTGGATAACCAATTATACTCCAATTTATACAAAATAGGTGTTATTCGAAAGCTGTGTTAATCTATTTTCAGATAAATTAAATTTTGCGTGAATTGGAGTTTGCTGCAAGGAGTTACAAATAATTTCGTAGCTAAAGGTCTAAAAATATAAGCTTTGTTTTACTAAGTCCATAGGGTCGATGAAAACAGATGTTTCAGTTTACAATTGTACTCTAAAAATTTCAAATCAGGTAAGAACAGAAAGCATTTTGAGTCTAGTTTTGAGTAAATCATACTGAGTTCCCAACAAAAAGTTATAAGCAGTTAAGCAACAAGATGTCAGAAATTACAGTCCCTATTTTATAAAATCTATAGGGTTAATTGAAACAGAAGTCTTAGTAAGCATTTAAACTCCAAATCATTCAATCTCAATATCAAAATAAATATCTTTAAGTCTAATTTTAAATGGATTAGGCTTTGCATAAATCAGAGTTTAGTGCTAAAAGTTAGGTCCAAAATAGTGCATAGAGGTCAGATTACCAAAAAAATTTTGGTTCTAAGTTGAAATCTTTTGAATGGCT